GGGGTTGGAATTTATACGTTTAATTTCTTACCACTCTATTTCAGGCTTTGACAGGAGTGGATTAAGGAAACTTTCGGAACTCCTATTACCGTAAGCGCACGTGTACAAAAAAATGCACCAGCAAAAATTGAAAGAAAGTACCTTTAGTCCACATATAGACCTCTCTTGAATATAAGCCGCGGGTTTTCATGTTGTAGTGATTTAACCAACAGCTGAAGGAGCAAAACAAAGCAGAAAAGATGACTGTTGCAATTGGTCACAACATCATTTTACTGACAGGGAGATTTTAACGCAAAGTTGACTCGTGATGGAGAAAGCCAAAGGTAAAAATCACCATGAAATCTGAGGATGCAAACGTTAGCTCACGTTAGCATGCTTAGCTTAACGTTAGCTTCAATGACTAGCTTCTGTTTGGACAATAAACGAGTGTCCTACAGCGACTAACACCTGATGGAGTTGATGAAGTCCATAAACTCTGCTCTGACAACTTTCACTCTACCACAATAACAAAACATATATTAGCTGCATTCAATTCAATACCATTTATTTTTGTATCGCTCTAAATCACAACAGTAGTTATGTTGGAGGACTTTACAAAGCTGTCGATTCGCCGACACAGATCAAAGAATCAACCAGTGCAATGATAGAACACACATATAGGTCCATAAGGGGCAGGTGACCAATGTCCATAAATTTTAATAAAAGTTACTATATAAGCCACCGTGTTTATAGAAATGGAAAAAGTAGCGCTTTTAGTCCGGCAATTATGCTTTGTGAATCATTTCTGAAAACAGGCTAGAAAAGGCTATAATTTATGGACTAGTTGTGCTGGGGTAGGTAACTTTAAACTGAGTGACCTACTATCTGGAACTAAGTCATACAATGCATAGCTCCTCACTCTCAAAACAGTTTGCCTCTGTCACAACTTTAGATCAGCAAAAGGGGAGGACCACCCTCACTCAGCCAATCAGCTCTGAGCCCAAAGCATCTGATAATGACTCACTGGCTCTATCGCTCAACGACACAAAATATAACAAAAGGACGATATGTTGTGGTCAGATTTGTTTCAAAAAATGACTTTAACAAAACTCTTTCTGATGGGACAAACAACATGAAATATTTGTATAGACAGAGTTAGGGACCCCAGATTTAACTGGTTCTAAAAAACATTCCACAAGCCTTCTACATAATGCTAAAGAAACGAGCAATGTGCAGTGGTGCAAACCATGCATACATTTTCACAATCTAGATTTTAAAAGCAGCCATCACGACATTTGAACATTTGTAAGATTGTCAAAAGTATTACAATATTTAAACAAGACAAAATGTGACATTTCTTGGCATGTTTTGATCTGAAACTATATCAAAGAACTCATATTGAATCTCGCAGCTCTGTTGAGAGTGGAGCTATTTTGAGTTAAACATTACAGTATATTGTCTAAAACAACATTGATAAATAGTGTGGTGCAGTGTGCGAGAATACTTTGGTGTTGAGTATTAAGTAGATTTTCGAATATCAAAGTATATGTAGTTTGAAATGTGGTTTTGTGAAAACCTTTGTGGTGTAAGTATTTGAAAGTATTTAAATATTTCATCGACAAAAACAGACAAAGTGCCACTAGAAAAATGTTAGGCTTACAACCTGCTTTTTACCAAGTGTTTTTCATTTTAAGTCAGATATAATTCAGTGCCACACAAATACAGTCTCACCTCGAAGTGTTTCCAATGTTCTAACAACACATAAAGATTGAAACTTGAGGAATACAACTTTTTGACACATTTTCAGAACAGCAAGATCTGTTTTTTACTAAATCAACTCTTTACTTGTTATTGGTGACTGTTGGGGTCAAATAACACAATATCTTGTAAGTTTTGTGTCTCTAATAACTTCTGTTGAGCCGGAATGAGCCTCCCCTCAGACTTGGACTTCACCTGGGGCTTCGTTGTTCCTTACTGACTGGCAGCAGCAGCAGCAGCAGCAGCAGCAGCAGCAGCAACCACATGCCCTCAATTTATAAATGCAAATGAGTGGAAGCAGTTTCGTCAGTAAAATAAAATTACTCAAACTGTCCGATGCATTTTAATCAAGTTAGCGGCTTGTGTCTGCTGTTGTTTATAACCCTAATGAAGCAATTTGTTTAGATGGCTTTCTGATTAGTGCGCTCTCATAAGGACAGGGAGCTCTAAACTTAGGAAGTGATGCGTTTTAATCTAAATACGCACAAATGTCATGGTATTTCTGTGGAAAATAAAGTCTTATTATATATATATATATATAGACTGATATAGGATGTGATGTATCTTCTATGAACGCGTTTCCTCAATGTCAATAACACATTTTCAGTCACTTTTGACAATTGACTCGACTTTAAAAAGTAAAGCAACCAGCTGCGACGCTTTTTGAGTTTATTGTGCGAGCGTGTGTTTTGTGACTTTAATTGTTGCTTAAAGTCCTGCAAAGGTTTACTGTAATCGTCGGTTTGGTCAAGTTGTAGTATGAAGCCTGCGTATATTCAGTCTGGTAGGTTACCTGCTGCAGCCATCAAAGCTCTACACCCTCGGCCAATCACACGGCTCTACCAACCTACGCCAATTAGGCCGGCTGTTTAGAAGCGGAAATTTACCAAAAACTATCCATTTTCCCAAGCCACGAGAGGAGTTGTTCTGGAGTCACTTTTGTCTACTCACGCCTCACAAACCACCACCTCCCCGCCTCATACTGGACCTTCTAGCCACGCTCTCATCTCAACTTTAGCCTTGTGCTATCACCAGTACCAGGGCCTCATGCCACCAACAGTACCTAATAATAGTTCCCGGGGATTTTAATTGGCACATAAGGAATTATTGTAAGAGAGAGGCCAAACAAACTAATGAATAAACACATATAACGAAATGTTGTGTCTGTGCAGTCTCTCCAGATTGAATCATATTTGGACTGCGCTACACCACCTTCCCACGTCTGGGAGCCTCCTCAGTCCTGCACCACACAGCCTCAGTCCTTGTTCTACAGTCTGAGTCCTGCATCTACATAGAGAATAGACTTTAAAACAGCTCTGCTTGTGTACAAGTCTCTCCATGGCCTCGCACCAAAATATATTAGTGACATGTTAGTACCATATGAACCAGCCCGGACTCTGAGGAGCACAGGGACTGGACTCCTGTTAGTGCCCAGAGTCAGAACTAAACATGGGGAGGCTGCTTTTCAGATTCATGCTGCTAAAATCTGGAACAGTCTTCCTGAAGATGTGAGACAGGCCTCCTCAATGACAATGTTTAAAACCAGGTTAAAAACGGTTCTGTTTAGCTGTGCATACAACTGAGGGATTGTATATTTTTATCTTCCTTTTTAATGTTCTGTGATTATTTATGATTTTAATGCTTTCTTGTTTTGTTCAGCACGTTGAGATGCCTTGTGTATGAATTGTGCTATACAAATAAACTTGCCTTGCCTTGCCTTACATCCTGTTCATCCATAGGAGCGGATCCCTCCCTCAATAAAGAAGTTTTTCACTTTTTTTCCCACTGAGTTTTTAGTTGTTCCTCGCTGATGCAGAAGGGTCTAAGGACAGTGATGATCCAGGACATTTATTTACATTTACAGACAGAGGTCGACCCGCTCCTTCTGGACCAGTGGCTCCTATGTGTTTGCTGCAAATGCATTTTCTGTGTTCGAACCGTTTGATTCTCTAGTCTTTGCTGTTGTGATTTAGGGCTATATAAAAATACATACCATTCCTTTATAATTATTTAATCAAGTTGGTTACACAGTGGCTGAGTGGATAGCACTTTCACTTTTCAGCATGGAGGTCCTGGGTTTGAATCCCTGTCGGCACAGGGCCTTTCTGAGTGCAGATTGTATGTTCTCTCCGTGTCTGTGCAGGTTTCCTCTGTGTGCTCCGGTTTCCCCTACCACTAAAAACATATATAATAGGTCTGACATGTGCTTCCTGTGACCCGATCTCCTATCTCTGTGAGGAGAGAGAGACAAATGCCCAATGCGCTTGTGAAAGGTGCTATTATCCATCCATCCATCCATCCATTTTCTACCCCCTACTCCATCTCTGGGTCAGGGGGGTGGCAATCAGAGATGCCACCCAAGTCTCATAGCACCAGCCCCTCACTGACCCTCTGCAGGTGGTGAGTCCACAGGAGGACAGCTGCTCTGAGTTGAGCATAGCCTTGATCTTTCAGTGGGGGCTTTGGGCAAAGTGGGGTTAAGTGTCTTGCCCAAGGACACAACGACAGCAGTCATCAGTGGGAGTCGGTGGAGAAGGTGCAGAGGTGGGAATTGAACCCACAACCTTCTGGCCATAAGGTCAATGCTCTACCAACTGAGCTACTGTCGCCCCGGTGCTATTATCAATAAAGATAAATAAAGATTACTTCTAACCCACCAGGCATTTTGTCCAACTTACTTGAAACATCTGGCTAAAAAGTACAATCTTAAAAGTTGCGTGAACTTAAAAAAGCTTTGAGGCTGACCACTTTTCAAACTTGGCTCAACTTTGTTTACATCCCAGTGTATATAAAAGTGCACATACTATTGCAACACGTACTGAAGCTACGGCATAAAGGTGTTGAAGAGAGCATATGGTCAAACAAAGCCTTTTCTAATGGTGTATTAAATATCCTCAGACATGCACTTCTGGTCCTCAGCGTCCAGCTACTAAAAGCCAATAATGCATTGCGCTTCTTCCTGTCTGCGCCCTGTGGGACTGCCATGATGGATCTGATCAATTAGCTCTTTTCTGAAGCTGCCTTGAAGCTGCGTCATCGGCTCCAAAGAACGCAACAAGATGCAAGATCAAGCGCTCAGTCCATTCACGGCCACGCGTACATGTCTACACGTAAAACTGCCCTGTATGTAGTAGTAGTGGAGGGAGGTGGAGAGGAGGGGGACCATAACGCGCGTGGAGTTCAACGTGCACCACAAGTTCCACAGCGGTTAATCAAGTGACAGAGACGTGTCCAAGGCGCGCATACACACTTGTAAACTAAACTCACCATTCCGACTTGGCGAATTTGCGAAACGCCTGCCTGGACAAGTCCTGCTGCGGCTGTGGCTCCGCGGAGATGCCCTGCGCTCTCCGGGTCCTGGGGGGGATAAGTTGCTGCGCGCTGGGCAGAACAGACTGACATTTGTGCAGTTTCCTTTTAAGCTCCTGGATCTCCTCGTCCCTGTCGTTCAAACGTCGCTCCAAGTCGCGTATCCTCTCCTCCTTCAGCAGCAGGATCTTTGCGAAGTCCTCCTCCAGCTCGCTCATGGTTGCGAAACTTTAAGTCCGCGTCGTTGCTGGTACTGTTTGCTGTTTATAGAGGTGTCGTTTTCCTTCCCTTTTTTTTTTTTTTAATGGGAAGTCTGGGTGGCGCGCGGTTGGATGGAGACGGGTCCGAGGCGATGCGCGCTCTCTGGGGTCACTCTGGGAGCACGCCAGCCAGCTCACAGCAGCAGCAGCAGCAGCAGCACCAGCAGCAGCGAACCCCCCGGGAGCAGCTGATGCGCCTTCATTGAGAAACCAATTACATCTGCTGCCCCTCCCTCCTTCTCTCCCTCCCTCCTTCTCTCCCTCCCTCCCTCCCTCCTTCCTCTGGACACGGGCACGCACGCACACGCTGAGAGGTGGACGCGTACAGAGCAGCCCGGACAACTCCAACACTCTCCACACTGTACTTCCACGCCTCCAAAAGGCTATTACGCTGTTTTCTGTGTCGTTTCGTTTCCAAGCGTCTCCCTGGTCTGGTCTGGTCTCGCTGGCTGCTCGGAGATGTGTCTGTGTTTGTAATGAAAGTATATTGAGAGAGATCCAGCCTCCTGTCGTGTGTGTGTGTGTGTGTGTGTGTGTGTGTGTGTGTGTGTATCCTGGCGCATACCCGGGAATCTGTGCGTCTGCGAGGGGCGTCACATCCACCAGGCTTCGGCGTGTGATGAGACAGACGCGATTGGAGCATTTGGAGAGAAAGAACCAACCACCTTCAACAATTATGAAGTGAATGAAATATGCACATGTTTTCTTGTTTAGATCTTATGCCATGTTCTGTGTTTTGTGTAAAAGTTATGTTGTTTTTGTATCAATATTGTTCTTTGGTTGTGATATTCCACAGTCATATACTCATTCGGACCGTTCCATTCATAAATATTCAGATGACGTAAGCCTCCTTTAAATACAGTAGTGACACATAAGCTGCCTTGTGCATGAATTGTGTTATACAAATAGACTTGCCTTGCCTAAGTTTGTTTCAGTTATTTACACCGACTTGAATAATTTGAAAAGCCTGATTTATTTTAGGCCCTTACAAACAAAGATATGCCAATAACAAAACAGGTTGAAGATTTTAACTATGGAATAGATTTTTTGACATAAAAGGGAGATGTGTTGTTCTTGTGTCAATGTTATTCTTTGGTTGTAATAATAATAATAATAATAATAATATCTGACCACAAAACTCTTATCTTTTCCCTGTGCTATCTGTATTGTGTTGTGTTATTTTGTATTTTTTTTGTATTTATGTTGTCATTTCTCATGTATTTTCCTGCCTTGGTACCACTGATGAAAACTAGCTTGGTAGCTATAATCCGGCATATTTACATGTGTTCATTAATGTGCATTGTCCCTATCAAATAAATAGATAAAACATGCATCTACTGTATGGAAATTTTTTTCTGTGTTTGCTTTATATTTTTCATGTGTTTTAACTGTTGATTCTCTGATCTGGTGATTTCAATGGTTTTGTTAAGTCCTTTGAGATGACTTCTGTTGTGATTTAGGGCTATACAAGAATAAATTGTATTGTTTTGCATTGTACAGATTCACACTGTTTCATTCTCAAATATTCATTCTGTTTCTAATGACATAGGCCACTTTTAGATAGTGACATATTCTCGAGCTTTAGTGGAAAATGTAGTAATATTCTTCTCATAGCTTTTTGAGTGTCTTGCAATCAGACAAACAAACCCTGGTGAATGCATTACTCCTTATGAAGGTAAATGCAATGACCACACATATTAAAGAAGCTCATGACAGCAGCATTAAGTAAATAATAATAATAATAATACATCGTACTTATATATAGCGCTTTTTTTGGACACACAGAGACAGTCAAAGTATGTAGGTAATATTACAGCAAAAGTATGATTAATATTAGTTTTACCTCTTCAATACTTGTCAATACATTATGATTTTTCAAAACGTAGTGGTTGCAACGTGTAACTAATCTCTGCATCTCTCAAACGTGGAGCAGAGGAAGTTTTGGACCAGATTTTCCCCTTTGACAAGTTGGCAGAGAGTCTTCTGAAACTTCACTGATGTTGTTGAGGCAGGGGTCAGTGCAAAAGTGGGATACAAGACATTTCAGGAGTCTTCTGAGCTAACAAACACGACCCATGGGAACACAGGCATCCTCGGGCAGATCACAGACTCACATGTTGCTGCCAGACAGCATACCTTCAGGAGGCCAGGGCTGCAGACAGGGGCCACTGGGGCTGGGGTCAGGGGCCTGCGACACTGACCACTACATGAGGGGCTTTGGTTTGTCTTATTGTGTAGATACATGGGATGACAGATGACATCATGTACAATAAACTAGGTTTATTGTCAAAAAACATTTATCTATCTATCTATAATGCAAGGAGTGTATGTCTGTCTGTGGGTGTGTGCATGTCTCTCTGACTGTCTGTGTGTGCATGTCTGTCTGATTGTCGGCCTGTGTGTGTCTGTGTGTGTGTCTGACTGTCATTCTGTGTCTGTGTGTGTGTGTGTGTCTATCTGTCTGTCTGTCTGTGTGTGTCTGTCTGACTGTCAGTCTGTGTGTATGTGTCTATCTGCCTGTGTGTATGTGTCTGTCTGTGTGTGTGTGTGTGTGTCTGACTCTCGGTCTGTGTGTGTCTGTCGGCCTGTGCTTGTCTGTCTGTGTGTGTATGTATGTCTGACTGAAGCCTAGTATGTAGTCGCTTGCGGTGGTGACATGACGTCACTTGACCTACGCAAGGATCACAGTAAGACCCTTGCATAGCCACTCCTGCACCCTCGGATATGTCTAACTACGCGGCCGGTGCCGCAGAGAAGGTTCTTTGTGATGGACCCGTGTGTGTGTTGTGGATGGAAGCATGGGGCGGCTGTAGGGAACATGGACGAGGCACTTTGGAGCATGTTGCTTCGTGATTCGAAGGAAAATCAGTTTTCCTGATATACACGGAGGACATGGACTGGAGTTCAGTGGCATTTCTAACATATATTAGGGAGGAGGATAGAACTGTCACATAAACTACATTAGATACACATGTAATGATCACAAACAGCTTCGCTATTGTTTTTGTTCTGATGTGGAGGTAGTAGCTGCGTAAATGGGACTGCTTTGGTTTCTCAGGCAACTCCTGTGAGATCTGTCGGTTGGGTGTGGGATTAAAACATTCTCTTCAAAACTACGCACGGGGGTATGTTGGAGTATACAAGCAACTGTGGCTGCGTAGGTCCAGTGCAACCGCCAACGTAACCAGTGCCGCACGAGTGTACACAGGCCTTAGCTGTCGGCCTTTTGTGTGTGTTTGTGTGTGTGTGCGTGCGTGCGTGCGTGCGTGCGTGTGTGTGTGTGTGTGTGTGTGTGTTTTGGATTTCGGACACAGCCCGACACATGGCACAATCCTGTATTTCTCGCATGCTTCGGAGTTTACACTACTAAACTAAATGTGCCTCTTTGGGGGCACTTTACAAAAAAATTCCTTATAGAAGCCCCAGCTAAAGCAAACAATGGAAAAACATGGCGCCATCGCAGAAGAAGAATCAATGGGAAATTGAAGTTTTAGCAGAAATAGAAGATTTTAGCTGAGATATAAAACTGTGCATACAAAGTAAATACACCGAGAATCTTCACAAACTTTCTGCATCACAATGTCTGCTCCATTAATGAATGAACGATAACACAAGAGATTCTATCTAGCAGTTGCCAGTCGGTTCAAAGATGTGACAAAAATGAAAATAAATTCAAAACTCTGAGTGGAATAGTCTATACAATGTTTTCTGTGCTTATCATATAATATGGTCACATTTATACAATGCTTCTCTACCCTTTCATGGCACTCAAAGCGTTTCAATCACCCATTCACATACATGTACCTAAGCAGTGGGGCAAGGCAGGATAAGTGTCTTGCCCAAGGACCCTCTGTAGTAATCACCAATAGGAGCTGGTTTCACACCTGAGGATAAGTGGATCTGACCCAATAATGTTCATCTCATGAGCAGGATTCGAACTGCCAACCTTCATCTCAGGACACATGCCTGTAGGTATATAATGCATCGGTTTTATACAGCACTTTTTTGGACACTCAAAGACGCTTCATGTGTCATTATTCATTCACTCCATTCACGGTGCTGATAAACTACTACTGTAGCCACAGCTGCCCTGGGGCACATTGACAGAAGCGAGGCAACCAGTATGTGCCATCGGGCCCTCCGATCACCACCAGCCATTCTCATACACACCAGACTCATATAATGCAATGGGGGTGAAGTGTCTTGCCTAAGGACACAACAGCAGTTTGGCACTTTACAGCCGCAGCCGCCCCACTGTGGCATCAGGTGTTCCCAGACGTATATACTGCAGATGCGGTGGACGATGCATCATGCAGGCTGCAGGTAATGCATTGGTAAACTTGCATTGGCGCTGCCTTGTCTTTGCTTGCACAAAGAGTGAATGTGGTTGGAACAATTGTTTTTTACACTTAAAGCTAGGTTACCTTTCAAACCACAAATTAAACAAAAAAGTAATAAACTCCTCCCCACTATACCTCGCTCATAAAACAGTTTTCTTCCCTAGTTTCCACATGTGCGTTTTTTTGGGCTCATCTTTAGATCAGTTTTTTCAGACAGAAAAGTGAAAAAGAGAGGACCACCCTCACTCAGCCCAAAGTGTCAAATAGTGACTCACTGAGCTCTTTCTAAGAACGCAAATGGTGTGGTCTGATTTGTTCACAACAATATAATATGTAATAATGATTGCTTTTTCATTAATTAATTCATTGCTTTTTAGCAAGCAATGAATTAATAATAATACTGACCGTCTACTTTGCATATAACTTGTCCTTCAGCCATCCAAAAGCCTGACCCCTCTTCCCACACTGCACTAGTATAGTATGAAGAAGCCTCCAGGCCATTATTGTCTGATTTGAACATATTACAACGATTTATCAAAGCGATTTTACTTCCTACTTTTATTTCTGGTTTGGATTTATCCTTACCGATGCAGGAAGGTCTAAGAACAGTGATGATCC